TTGCACCCTTCAGCACGCGCACGCCCCAGGGGTGAAATTGGCTAGAATCCAGCCTATGTAGGCTAAAATTCCTTGTTTTCAACTCCGAAATGTTGGAGTTGAAAGATTGCTCCCACAGACATCTAGAAGGATAACTTCAATGCACTTCAATCACGGACTGTCGTCCAATGAAAACAGGCCTGTAATCTCCCTTTTCTAGATTTTTCTCCAAATACATCCTTCAAATGCAAAACCAGTGTGGGTGGAGATACCATAACTGCATTTGACTTCAGAACTCCTCAAATTCATTCGTTAATCAATAGAATACAGTATCACAAAGTACAAAAGGTTTCAAAGGTTGGATCCGTTTGATCATCTCGAAAAGCTTCTGACACAATGTCAGAGCCGCTAGTGCCTCTGACAAGTGCAAGTGTGATAACGCAATAGCGCAAAGTGTGATAACAAGGCACATCACACTTTGGAGATCCCTGACGGGGAGGGCCGTATGTAGTTGGTCGTAGGAAGGAGGATGAGGGTCATCTTGCCTCTGAAAACAATGTTTCTGGTTGTGATGACTTGTTTTTCCCCTGCTGCAGACCTGCTTTACTCCCTATAATCTGACCCGCCTCATTCCCCCTCCCCACTCGGCAGAGGTTTTTCGGGCAAAAACTGAAGTTCTCCCGGAAAAGTGGTAGGAAGTCGGGAAATTACAAGAAGATGTTGGGTAGGATGGGAAACGGGAAAAGGGTCGTACCAGAGGAGGGAATTTTGGGGATGTTGTACCTGAGGAGCAAATTCTAATTGGTGGGAGCGTATTGCGCAAAAACGTTCCCCAGCGGCACGACGTGCACTAGTTGATGACGTGCTTGACGAGCGAGCGTATTCAACTGGAACTGATCAAGCCGTTGGAGAGAATCACTCAGTCGAAGTCAAGTTTACACTGGAAAAGTACGAACAAAGGCGCAGGTTCTAGGCACCTGCTCAGGATAATTATCGAAAATAAAATACATTCAAAAAAGGCAAGAAACGAGGATGAAACAATGAAAGATAATGGCGAAAATTTTAATAGGACCAAAGAAATTGGTGAACTGGTGAAATATTTATTCAGAAATTAGTCGTCTTTGGTACAAACACCATATTACTCTTCGTTTCACAACCGAAAAATCCTTTCACGTGCTTGCGAATCTGCTTATTGACGCAAACATAAACGACGCCATGGATTCCTAAATGACGAAACGGTTGTTGAAGGAATGACCTAGGCAGACATACTTTGGAGGAAGCTCTGGGAAAGTGGTACAGCTACAGACGTTATCACTGACAATGGTCGGGGCGTGGTTGCGGAACATGGATTTAGCGCGGTTTTCCATCGATCGTGCAGCGCGCCAAATTTCTTCATCCCGATACAGCTCCCTTCCTTCTCCTTCCTCCCTGCTTCTTAGTTTTCCCAAACTTCGTACCACTTTTTCAGAAGCTTCTCCAGTTTTTGTACATAGCAGAGGACTGTTAATAACACCCACCGTGACTTAGCTGCCACATAACGTGCGAAATGATAACGACAGCTCTGGGAACCTCGACGAATTTCATGATGTTGTAGAGGATCGCTGCAATAGCATTGTCGCAGCAGATGCAGAATAGCTGAATAGAAGCTGAAAGTCTCCGTATTTTCAGGGAATCCGCTGAAGATTGATAACCATTGTTGAGTCCAATTCAAAATACTCTACTAAGTTGAGCGACTCCTCGCAAATCGACGTTCACCACAAGAGGATGGAAACTCGATTTGAGCTTACTTGCTTCGTTATTTCCTATATCAAAATTTGCTTAGCAGTGTATCCGACAAATCGCTTGATCGACATGTGGCTTGACGCGTTGCGCACCAATTCAAACCGCGCCTAATCCGTTTCATCCGAAAAGATCAGATGTGAGAGCGCAGGATTATGACCAGGGTCGCCGGAAAGTAGAATTTTCTGCGAGGCACGTTTCCTCTGGCTCGACCCTGATGGGAGGAAGGAGAGGATGAGCGGTCTCTTTGTTACCTATCATCCTCTCCCCCCCACCGTTCCCCCTCGCAAAACGCATGTCCATTATACTCTCTCATCATTACGCGAGCTGTCGGGGCGGGCGGTGCGCGGTTTTCCGCTTTTCTGGCCGGTTCCAAAGTCTTTCTGCACATGTTTGTTCTGTAGCAAAGCGATCAAATGACATAACAGCATTATATCCTTCGTATTACTCGTTTTCTACCACTTTTTGTCGCATACGCGCTTCAAAGAAAAGGCTGAGAACGGCTTCAAACAGTGTGCGCACTCCTTCTGGCTGATACGCCCCGACAGTCCGTAATGAATGAGAGTGGTACTGTGATTGTGGGGCGTGCGTTCGTTAATGTAGACAGGACAAGCTTCAACGCTCGGCACTCCTTCATATAGCGCCGGTATTTCTCTAACATTCGTTACCAAATTTTTGGGGTAGATCGATGTCGCGTCACGTGCAGTCCTTAGAAATACCGACCCTTCCGACCTGAGGAGCCAAACATAGCTTTGTATGCGGCGAAAAACGCTGGTTTGTAACAATAGAAGGAGAGTAATAAAAATTTGTTCAATTCCGTCTAAGGCACTGTTGCCGCAGGAATTTAGCTATCTCTTTGACCTTCCCCACACAAATTAAAGATGCAATTTCGAAATATAGTTCCAATTACACAAAATCATTCAAACTCTACAGTCAAGGACTCAAAGAACAAATAAATGTATGAAATCAAAGAAAATCGATATAATAACTACGAAATTAGATTTCAAGCAAAATATAAAACCATTACAAAGTATAAATATATTAAACAGTCACTATTTTATGATAGAAAGCTTTTGCACACAACGAGATACAAAACCTACCACTGCTTGAACCTTGTCGATGCTCATTCTAGCAGGTTTACCGCGCCTCAACACATAGTAGCACAACCCCACATAAGGTAAAATAAGCATGACCAGGAACGACATGTTGGTGATTGTCAGTATCAGTGTAGCGTAGTGTACCGCCTCCTGAAAACACAATAATTTCATTCTGATTTTGTCTCCTTCCTTGAGTCCGTGGGTTCAAACTTGAACATTTTCAACTTTTTTTTGCCATGGCTAGCTCTCATCCCTCTGTGAGGGAATAAGAAAAGCGCAAATGGTAATGCCGGAAAGTGACCCTTAGGCTTTTTCTAAAGGCACAAAGCATAAAGTAAAGTCTTCGCCGTTGATCAATCCCTTTGTGGGATGCGGCACGCATTCTACTTCCATTCAGAATCGTAGTGGCTTATTGAATGCGATGTGGCCTATACAATGACTTGCGGGGACAAGTCAGTGTTTTATCCTCCCAGACGAATCTGGTACCAATTTACCGTCCCCGGAGGGTAGAAGGCTTGGTTGGCCTAGGCAAGAGTCGACCCGGGATTTGAACCCAGGACCGCGCATCAATTTGTACTAGAATTGGTCATAAATGAAATTATGGTCATGGTAGTGTAAATTGGTAATGAATGGAGGTAGAACGCGTGCAGCATCCCTCAAAGGGATTGATCAGCGTCGAAGAATTTATTCTTTAGACTCTTAAGGGCGTAAGGCACGACAATTTGGTGTTAAGTCTAAAATGAGAGCAGGGG